TTTATTGCATGCTCATCAATTTTGTACGGTAATATTTTATTTTGAAACCTCAATTTTTAACATTCCTAACAAATTAGCTCTAATGGGAATCGAACTAGCTTCAAATCATTTTTCAACCATATTCTGCTCAAAACTTCACGGTTGATCGAACCAAATCACTCAATAATAGAAGTCCAATAAAAAACAACATTAAACTTGCATAAAACTCTCAATGCTCCACTTAACCAAATCAATTTATTCTCACCGTATCGTTTTCAAACTAGAACATTCTCAATGCAAGACGGATTTTCTCTATACCTAGAATTTAAATGATTCAATTCTCTTTTGTGCATTCAATGTGCTCACAATTACGATGAAAATTCTTTCTTTGATCATTTCCAACCGCTTGAATGCTGAATCTTTAGTGCCTAATCAAGCATATAACCAAAATAAATGCTGCAAAAAATATTATTTTAGAAAGAAAAAGTGCACTGAAAAACTTTATTTAACTGGAAAACTTGAAAATTTCTCGAATTTGTTGAATTGAATTCAATTTAAAATCAAATCGGCGAATTCAATGAATTGACTTTAATGCATAAACGTGAATTTATATAATCCATAAAAGATTCCATTAACAAAACTATAACACAAAATATTTTCACGATCAAAACTCCAATTTTCTTGATTCTTGTTCTCACAAAAAAAAAACAGCTTAACATCCAATTTAATTCTTCGGTTGTAATTTTTTTTGGAGTAATCCGACACATAATCCTCGGAATATTTACAATAATGCCTGACTTACGTGAAATTACGTAAATGAAAGCAAGTAGCGAGTGTAAGTATGTAGGAGACGGAATAAAAAGAGAACGAGAAAAAGAAATTTAATTCTACACAATGTGCTCATTATAATCCATTTTTAGCTGTATAAAGAAATGAAATATTCTTGGTATATTTTAAACTTGTGAATAATATCAAGTTTATATTCACATATAACGTCATACTGATTGATAATAAACCAATAAATTTTCATCTCAAATGTTTCATTCAGACATGATTGAATGGTGTTAAATGGGAAGATCAATAGATAATAAAAAGAAAAACCTTAAAGTATATAGATTTATCCACATAAATTTCAATTTCATGCTTTCAATTACATTGGGCAACCTTCAATTTTACCACATTAATTGACCTGGAATGTTCTAGCATTCTCACTTCGTCTACTCTTTCGGTTTTGGATTTTAATTGACTTCCGTGCGTTGAACTAAACGCTAAGCTTCATTCGAATAGATTTAAATGAGCTGGATTTGAATAGAATGAGCTGAGCTAGATTCGATTCGATTGAGCTAAGCTTGATTCGACTAGATTGAGATGAGCTAGATTACAATAGAATGAGCTAGACTAGATTCGACTAGATTGAGCTGAGCTTTATTAGACTAGATTGAGTTGAGCTAGATTCGATTAGATTGAGTTAAGCTAGATTCGACTAGATTGAGCTAAGCTTGATGAGCTATATTACAAAAGAATGAGCTAGACTAGATTCGACTAGATTGAGTTGAGATTTATTAGACTAGATTGAGTTGAGCTAGATTATACTAGATTCGACTAGATTGAGCTTAGCTAGATTCGACTAGATTGAGGTAAGATAGTTTCGACTAGCTAGATTCTACTGAATTTAATCCAGAATCCAAACGATATTTTAATCAATTTTAAACTCCTTGATTTCATCAATACTCTCTTACCACATAGAAGTCACCACATCAACATCTCTAGCCATGACTTTTTCAATATCCATCAATTCAATTCTATTCCATTTTCTCTAAAACATTCAGATTGAATATCTGCATTGTCATCGTCATGTTGAGAGAAATAAATATATATTTTTATTTTCTATCATGTTAGTTTGTTCATGCATGTATCCACATCCAATCTCAAGTGAACTTGAAAAAGAATTTACATTTTGAGCATCAACAATAGCAAAAGCCAAAAACATGAGATTCTGCAAACCTGAAGCATAGCATTAATGCCTCTTGTATGATATGTTAAAATTATGGAAAATCCTTTCTCCATCTCACATGATGTACGTATTCTTGTGTAAGCTGTAAGCGCTTTTTCAGAAAATTGTTGAAATCTGATGGATTTCTCCTCATCAAGAGCTACTGATGTATTGCTTCCATGTATTGTGAAACATTTTCTTTTTCCATCAAAGCTACGGAAACTCATCATGTTGATGAAGATTCTTTCCCTTATTTTCTTTTTTCTGTGGAATTTATATCTGAAATAGATGAGTACTATTGTTTGCCTTTCAGTCTGTCCTTCTTTGTTAGGATTTTTGAAATCTTTCTTATATTTTTGGAACCAGAAATAATTCTAAACCGGTTTATGATTCATTTAGATTAGAGTATATGCTAAACAACTAGAATCAAACAGAGATTTTTGACTCGTCCATTCACGTCCATTCATGAATTGAGATTTTTTTTAGCGAGAATTTCTGATCGGAATTCATGAATGGGAAATGGATTTAAAATTTATGATATATTTTTTTGTTTCTTTTATAAACTGAGCCTGACATGGGTATGATAATTAATTCTATTTTTTTGTTGTGGGGATCGAAGATGATTTTGAATTAAAATTTGTGTTTGGGAATATCTTAATTTTGGGATATTATTAATGTTGACTAGTAATTATGACGATCGATAATTTAAGATTTTTGGACCACCTTATTAGCTTTTTCATAAAACTATTATTTATGTTGGACACTAATAGCAGTCATGTCTATACACAATTTAAAATGGACAGTCACAGATCAGTCTTAAACAGGAATCGAACCAATATCTTTTCATAATGACGAGTTCAACCTGTAGATTCGTTGGCATGTGGCTTGATACAACCTCACGGAACCTCACTAGTGTGCAGTGACAGAACCTACACATATTCTCACCATCTATTGTATAAATGCGCTTTAACTATGCCCTTTTCATCGTCAGACATTCATCACTTTTTTTTATCCTTTTTCTTATTTGACGAAATCATAAAACATTTCCCTGACATGTGTATGAGGATACACATTGCATGCATCGCAGATAAAGTAGATGTATATTTTTTTTTCCATTTGGAATTAAGTATATCTTCTCTGTGTTTACATGAAAGCTTCGATGATTTTCAGAAGAGAAAGGAAATAACTCAAATTCATGGTCGCAAGGATTGATTCACATTAGCTCGCGTAGAGGGATTATGCGAAAAACTGACTTGTATACAGGTGGAATGAGAATTGATGGGAAAAACACATCACATCGAGTACATTTTTGTTTCTGTTTCAATCTACAAAAACCAATCTAAATTATTCATGTTGCTAGTTCCTCTCGTCTGTTACAACTCTGTACGCCAAAATAATCCGATATAAAGCATTGTAGTTGCTGGAAATATTTCAGATGATGATCAGATTTCCATTTTTATTGAAAATACATTTACTTATTCTGGTTTTCTTCTTTGCTGGCTGATTTCTATCGCATTCGCTTTATGATGCCTTTTCTCTATAACCTTATAGATATTGTAATCTTTTTTACACGTCATCAAGCAAAGATAGAGGCAAGAGAGATGGAAAAATTCATAGTTTCTTTACCATTTTCTATTTTGTGGGTGGAAAAATGTGAGAAATTGAATGTAGACTTACTCATATTGTTGATGTTAAATGGGAGAAGTAAAGTTGTTGAATGATTGGTAATTAATGAGATATGTAAATCAATTTTCCACCATGTTGCTATCCCTATTGCTCAAATATGAAAATTAATAGTTTCATATAAATCTTAGGTTTTGGTTTATCTCAGCACCTACGGAAGCTAATTTCTCTGAATCTGAAAAGATACTCTTTAGAGCAGCCCCTAGCTTGAACCTAGTAAATCAACCCAATCCAAAACAACACAAAAAATCCGAACTCCCATCTACATTGCTCAATTCTCTCTCCTATAAGCATCTCACATGTATGAGACTGTTTTGTATAAGTAATTCTAGTATCTAAAGCACACATATGTGAGGCAAAAGAGGAAAATTGTTTGTTAACACGTTAAATAAAAGAAAAAAAGTGGAATGGGAGAAAATGTCATGGCAATAAGGCTTAATTGACTAACCTCCGTTGAAAGTGAAAAAAAAAAGTTTTTTTGCTTATTTTTTCATTTTCTTCTTCCACAACGACACACCTACGTGGTATTAAAGTTTCCATGGTATCCGAAAATGAGTTTTAAGAGATCTGAACAGGAATAAAATTAATGAGCGATTAGAAGTGAAATGAAGGAGAATTAAGTATTGAATAATTTTCATTATTGATAGTTTAGTGATGTTATAGATATGTGACATGAAAAGGTCTTTACTTTTTTGTTTCCGTAACTTTATTAAAGCTTTAAGAGCAGTTTGGGTTTAGGGTGATTCACGCAATGTGGACACAATGTTTGTTGAGTTTTCGGATAAGCTTCGCATTTTGATGATCAAATAAGAAAACACTAAAATAGAGCAATAAATAAAAATGTAACAGGTACACGCATGGTTATATATAAATTAATGAATTTTCTGTGGAAAAGGTTGATTTTCGTAGAGTTTTTGTTATTTCTTTATGAAATAATACAATTGGATACTCTTAGGGAATGTTTATAAATGGCGACAAAATTTCAATCATGTCGATCATGTCGATTTTTTGCATTACCATAAAAACAAGCATACAGGAATTAAAAATAACATTTAATAATATAATCTAGGACTCGTTCATTTTTAATGTCTTATGATGGAGACTAATGGTTCAAATTCTTTGTAATCTGAAGCACTGAATTAGACATGAACGGCATGTTTTCATTTTCTAAACATTAAGCTTTTCATCAAGTGCTGCACAATCAAAAATGGATGACTTTAAGACTATTGTCAAGAAGATTTATGAAAGCGATGAATCCAATCATTCAATTGATTTCAATTATTCTCGTTTCTCCACAAACCTGATGATTCAAAAAGGTCGTAACAATGATCCTTAAAATAAAATTATGACAAGACTTTTGACAATTGAGCGAAATGTTCAAATAATGCCTAAATTAACATGCTTTTTGACTCCAACAAATATAATGGTTGCAGACTGTGCTATAAATGATGGACATTTGAAAGGAATGTTTAAACATTTGAAATCAGAATCAGGTTTACTGAATCTAAATGTTGAACTGATTCCAGCTACAATGCAGTATTTACCTGATGCTGCTTTGTTAATGACTGCTGATACCGAATTTACGCATGAAAAAGTTCCGTACTCAATCAAGAATGATCCCAGACTTGCCATCGCACTTGCATTGATTGAGTCAACCTTTGAAGGCTTTTGGACTAAATATGAACTGTATTTACAAAATCCAGACGAAGAAATGAGAGTTATTGATGACAACTGCAATTTCAATGCAAAGTGGGTTAAAATTTAATTTTTGTGGATTCATTGAAAAGAAAAGAACTGAGGCTGAAAAGAAGTTCATTGCAATCATGATCATATTATCAATTTTTAAACCTTTGAATGATCTTCAACGTGCTTCGTGGGCAATCAGCCAATTCATGACTACTTCCTGAAAATTCTGATTTCACTTGAAATGATTCTGTTTATCATAATTGATGAGTTTGTTTGCATGCCCGAAAAAACAAAACCTCACAGCCATAAGAAGATCACTAAGGAAATTCTTTACTTCCTCATTGTCAAGCATAAGTTGAAGGAAAGATTTGGAGACAATTATTACTTTGCTAAGCTCTTGGATCCAACAATAAAAGAAGTGAATGTGGGAAATTGGAAACATTTGGGTGCTTTTGCACTAATGAGTGCAAATCTCAAGTATCCAAAGACATAACAACTTAAGGTTCTGGGATTAGGATATGAAATCGATTATCCAGAACTGTTAATGAATGTTATTAATCCGAATTCTGTTGGACGTGCTGATTCTGGTCGTGACAGCGATTTGTTCTTGAAAGCTTTGTATGGCAATTAAGGATTATGGTTGTGAACAATACATTCTGAAACTTATTTTTTTTTGTCCTTTTAATTCTTACATTATGATTGTTTCTACTTTGAAAATTTTAATAGATCTAATTTGTTCTTTATTCAAAACAGACTAAACTCAAATCTCGTCTTCTCGAGTAAAGCTTGTTTTTTACTATTTTTGTATAAATTTATCAGATTTTTAATATAATTAAGGGTGTGCGACCCATCTGGAAGCGCCTCTATAACGATCAATGCCGCCGTGAGTCAACCAATTTCAATACCACTGGCCTTTACGTCCCCTCCAAACCAACAAGAACAAGCTGTAACACCGTAAGGCATGGCTTGGAGTCATGAATAGAGAGCTCACGTTCAGGCTTTATTGGGCAAAGATCTTTTTATGACTCTTAGCGGCCCGGAAGTATTTGTTGTGAATGAATTGGAAAATTTCACCAAATACAAAGTTAAGTATGTGAGCTGAAAAAGAAGGATTAGTAAACAGGATAAAACGAACGGACGGATTGACAGGAATGTTTTTTTTGGGACAGCCCACCCTCAACCCCCTCTTAAATTATTCCTAAAAAGTTCAAATCCCTTCTTATAGAGGATAAGCCTCGTTCGATAAAAATTGCATAAAAAACTCGAACGCGCCATTGTAATTCATTCATGTCCAGATTTTAAAAAAAAAATCCCTTACGTTAACAGAACTACCAATTACCCCTCCCCAATCACCCAATCACCCCTCACGCAATCACCCAAAGACCCAAATCCTTCCCTTGGCGTCACTGGAGCGCCACTCCCAGATAGATTTGATTAAGCTCTTCTCGCCGGTCTCACCCAATACCCCTTACACAATCACCCCTCACCCAATCACACTTCACCCAATCACACCTCACGCGATCACGCAATGACCCAAACCCTTCCCTTGGCGTCACTGGAGCGCCACTCCCAGATAGATTTGATTAGGCTCTTCTCGCCGGACCCACAGAATCACTCTTCACCCAATCACCATTTACACAATCATCCCAACCCCTCCCCCCTCACATCCCTACCCCTCTACACCCTACCACCTACCCTCCTTTTAACACCCTCAGCTTTTGGCACTCTCCTAGTATCCATTAATACCACAACAAAACCAAGATTGTACAGACCTTATTACAGACCTTAGACCCTTCTTTCCGGTACCTTTTGAAACTTGTCCATAAACTGGAAGTGGAAGTATTGGACATCTTTCATTTGAGTTTACATACTGAAAACAAACGAAATAAAAATTATTATTAGATCGATTAATGAATAAACTGGCTTGAAATGTGGTGAATTGCTGTTCGCATAATTAATATTGCTTGAGGGTAGCAATTGTGAACTCGAATTTTGAAGAGAGGCATGTCAAGATGCTTAGATTATTAAAACAAAAACTCCTTACCTTTAACATGCTTATATTCGCCATCACTGTATATTCCATAAGCTCGTGTTCCAAATCTGTGGCTGTTGAAAAGAACTTTGTTACTTGCGAAATCAAACATCGACGACCATAATATTTCTTCCACAGCTTCATGTACGTAAAAAGCTCTCGTTTGATGTCAAGTGAACTGTTTTCAAAATGTTCGAGCATATACCAGAATGTGTATTCTAATTCAGCTGGAGCAGAATCCTACAAAAACAAGAAAAAAAATCATTAGTTGAAGAAGAATTGTGGAAAAAAGGGAGAGCACAGTATTCAATAATGAACAACTGTTTTTTGACAAAAATCTGTTAACAGAAAAAAAGGTCTCAAAAACAGATCTGTTTTCTGTTTTTCATTTTTACATATAATTTACAAAAAAAAAAAATTTCTTAATTTTTTGAAGAACTTAATATATTTTTCTAGAATTCCAAATTGAAATGTATTTACTTTTATAATATTTTTTGGATATTTAATAGTTTTGAAATCATTATCAAATTAATGATTAATCATTATTAATTTTGCAATCGAAGTTTTAAATTTGTTGAACCTTTGGTAGCATTTACTAAAGTGCAAAAATATAATCAACAATTTTACAAGACATTTTTTGATTTAGAAATATTTTTAAAATATTTTATGAATTTATGGAACTTTTACAATTTTTCACTAATATTTGATCATCAGGTACGAAAGGAACCGGTCAGTTCCACAAAAAAATTTTGACTTCAAGAGGTGATTCCTTGATGAAAAAACAACAAAAAAAAATTTTGTGGATGTAAAGGAACTAGGCAGTTCAAGTGCCTATTCTTGCTTATGACTCATTAAACAAACGTAGACTACTTTGGTACTGTAATAAAAGACATTTAAGATTTTAAAAGCAATGAAAGCAGGTAGTTCCTCATATAGAGTAAGATTCAGGCATGCTTGATGAAGTCAAGTTATTTAAATGTAAGCAGCAAGGCACAGAAGATTAAAAATCACGAATTCTATTTCGCGTAAGTCAAACAGCATGGAACCCTTGCTTGCTGTAACCTTTATTAAAGATATGATTGGATCTAAAAGATCCAGTTGCAAGATTCTGTCCGAAAAAGGATCAACTGCATTCTTACTTATGAGGAACTGCAACTGAAAACTGTTGATTTGAAAAATAATTTGAGATATTGCATACAAAAATTTTAAGAGATTTAAATCAAAATCCCAAAAAAAATCCCTTTGAAAAATGATTTAAATCAAAATCCCTCTTTAAAATCATTTTTCATTGAGATTTAAATCAAAATCAAAAATAATTTCTGCGATTTTGATTTAAATCGCAAAAAATCTCCCCACTCTGCCAACAATGATATGTTCCTTACAAGTATAAATATTTTTTTTTGCATTTTTATATTTCATTATATTTTCAAGAGTTAATTAACGAAAAATCAAAAAATAATAATGCTTAGCTCTTTAATGTATGCTTAACTGCTTAAAACCACCAAAAAGTTTCATTATCTAAAAGAAACACTTAGGATAACTCAGTTTATTTTGAATTCTAGAAAAACAGGAAAACGGTATGATTTCCCGATGACGAAATCGAGACCGAGACTTTCCGGGAAGTCTCGGTCTCGATCTCGTCTCGGTCTCGAGAATTTTCCGAGACCGAGACCCGAGACTAGAGAAGAAAAAAATTTAAGTAAAAATGATAATTTTAGAATTTTTCCCATCACAGTTTGTAGTTAATCTTACAGTTAGGGTAAATGACCTTGCGCATTTTCACACATGAAATTTTCATTTGCTTCAATCTCTTCGGAGGTATGGGATTTTTTCTCTTTTTGTATGGGATTTTTCGGGTGCAAATTATTGAGCTTCCTAATGGTTTAATATCACTAAAAATGATACAAAAACATCTGCGCTGGTGTTCTACAAACATTTCCCATTGATCGTCTGAACAGAAGTGACATTTTTACATATAATTTTAAAATTTTCGTTTTCATACGAGTGCGCAAATTTCAAGGTTGCGCAAATTTCAAGGTTGCGCAAATTTCAAAGTCATTTACCCTATCCAATTTTTGTGAATAAATATCAATAATAAATTAATTATTAGCAAAAGTTTTATGCAGTTTTTAAAATGTATTAATATTTCAACGTAAAACCTGAATTTAAAATAAAAACTCCTATAATTTTTCATAGTTTGAAACTAAATTTACCGTTATCGAACTTATTGACATTTTCACAAAAAAAAAACCTAATTTTTTTTGAGGATTTAAATGTGTATTTATAAGTTTTATGAAGTTTGAAACATTAAAAAATATTCAGTAATCCTATATATCGTTTTATTCATCAAATAAAATAGTTATTTGAGCAAGAAAGGTAAGTTTATTTATATGGAAATCTTATTGATTTATTGATGTACTTAAAAAATCCCTCATTTTTACCATCGGACAAACATTTCAATGTTTCAACAAAAAGCGAAATTCATAAATTTGGTATAGCGTTACTTCAACAGCATTTTTCGGAAATTTCAACAAATAATGAACCAGTTCAGTCAACTTCTAACTCTCAAGTTACTCAATTACAACAAAATTCTCTTCGAGATCGTTTGAAGTTAAGCTTGATGCAATTTACATCAAATGAGCCTAGTACTCGAAACATTAATGAAAACTTAAAACGCGAGTTTTCATGGTATGAGAGAAATAAAGTCAAAACTCCGTCATTAAATCAGCTGTATAATGCACTGCTAAGCATTCAACCAACATCTACCCAGAGTGAACGTAATTTTTCAATCAGCAATAATGTTTTGACCAAGCAAAGGAAGCGATTGCTTAACAAAAACTTAAATGCTATCGTTTTTGTGAAAAGTCATTTCCAAAACCCAGAATAGTTTTAATAGGGACACACTTTCTTATCATTATGCTTTTCTTTTATCATTACGTATTTCGTATTTCTTTTATATTTTATATTAGTATTAAGACAATAAAATTAGTTTGACTGATCGCATAACAAGGAATATATCCAGAAGTTCAATAACAAATAGACGTAAT